TGCGACGAGGTGCCCGGAAGAGCCGGCGGATGCGCGGTAGGCACGACAATAGATGGACCATCGGTATGAGGACGAAGGGGGATATCGCCCTGCGACAGGCCCTCGTCAGTCTGGGAAAACCCAGGCGTCTCCATGGTCTTTCTCTCCAACGATAGATGGTTCCTGGAGGGGCAACGCCACAGCACACCAGTCGAATCGCCGAGAGAATTAACAGCCGGTCACGTGGTATTTCTTGGGTCCGGAAAAGATTCTTTGGATGGAGACTTGGCTGGATATATTTTGCGATTTGGAAGTCGATGAACCACACCGGTCAATACTTCAGGCGGACGTATGAAAAAGATCCAGTCAAGGTTTGAAGCATGATGTCGCGCGGGGACGGAGTGCGAACCGGGCTTCTAAACCGGGATCAAGGACCAGAAGACCAGGCGCAATGTCAAGGTCGCAAATGAATCGATGAAAGTCGGAAGGTGTTCGATGTGCTCTGGAGAGGATAGGAATGCAGGGAAGCACGAAGATTGGGGGGGGGGGTATAAGTCTGGAACCAAAAGTGCAGGGGGATTCGGGATGAAGAGGGGCGTGCGGCGGGATAAGAACTACTATCGTATCCTACTTCTACTACGAAGTAAGTACTAGATACGACCGGCCGGCCACTCGGAGACCATTGCAACAAAGTACTTTGTCCCCTTCCACTGCGCGCCAACCAACCAGAACCTTCCAAATTCATCCACCGCCTACATGACTAAGAGTATTAGCATGACGTCATGGAAGTCCAGTGCCTTCTAGTGCCTGAGGTATCCACTCATCCCAGCCTCTCTCTCTCTTTCTTGACACAGGATACTTCTGCCATGGTGCTACATCTCTTCTCATAGGTCGGGCGTTTTCACTCCCTGCAACAACCGCTACTTTGGCATGTCTCGTTCCTGCAGTCACGCCAAATGGCCCCCCACATTCCACGAAGGATCCGGTCATCCACATTCCCCAGGGCGCGGGAGGCCGTGCGTCTATCAGGCACAGCAGACGTTCAGGGTAGATACCTACTCATTATGATGAAAGGGCATATGAGGATGAAGGAGCTACTTCAACTACAAAGCAGAGAGTGAACAGGCACATGGTTCTCGTCAGATCTAACCCTTGCGGGGAATTTTTGGATTCAAAGGCCACAGGCGCTAAGCATACATAGTCAGACATCAAGCATATCCCCAGTGTTTTTCTTTCTCCCTGGTCCTTTCCTTCCTTCGGCCGTATTCATCATCACCTGCTTCGGGCTTCATCTCTCCTTGCCCATCATTTGAGAAGAACTTGCAAATTCAAACCCCCAGAAAACGATCAATCAGATACATCACGGCCAGCCAGGGGATATAATAAAAAAATCAAGACGGTCAGAGTGAGAAAAGGGTAAAGAGTATATATGTACAGGCGCAGCAGGCGCGAGAGCCTCGCCGGAGATGGCGGGGTCAAAACAAGATGCAGCAAGGTTGCGAAACGGGCATTAAACAAATAGAAGCTGTACAAGATTAGGTCAAACGGAGTATCAAGGTGGTGTAGGTGGGTAGCCGGCTCAACAGGCCGGCTACAGCGGGAGTGGAGATGGAAGGAGTTTGTTTGGTTTTCGACTCCCCGAGAAAGAAACACACGATCCAAAACGCCTCTAGTCTATCGATTGGTGGATGAGAAGTGCCGCGACAACGACGTTCAGATTTCCCCGAACATCTCGTCCAGCTCATCGACTTCCACGGTCTCGGGACTCTGCAGCTCTCGCCACGAATCAAAGACCATCTCGACATCCTGGCTGGCAAAGGCACTGGCTCCCAATGGCAGTTTGTCGTCCTGCTCATTGAGATCGGACATTTTCATGTCCAGATCGGGAAGCCCACTGTTCAGCATGTCGATGGAACGCTTGAGCGCCGATACCGGGGGGACGGTCAGGTCCTCCGGGAGGCTGATCTGAGGGGTGCGTCCGATGGTTTCGGGTTGCGTCTCGCCATCCAGCCCGTCATCAGAAGCCACGCTCGTGCCAGACGAGATGGATGAGGCCACAGATGTGAGGGACGGGGAGGGAGATGTGCCGAAGAGGGTGGCGACAGCAGCGTCATCGAGATCCTGCTGCTGCTGGAGATGATCTTGCAGAGGGGACTGCTGCTGGTATGCGTTGTGCGAGAAGTAGTCGCCATCCTGGTCGTCCGACATGCGATCACCGCTAATGGAGGAGAGAGGGCTGTCCTCCACGGAATCGGAAATGCTCATGGCGCCATCGTGCAACTCGCTCAGACCTTCCGAAAGAGCAGAAAAGCCACCTCCCGGAATCTGGAGCTGGCCTCCTTTTTGTTCCGAGGCCCGCTCACGGACGGCGCTGGCAGTTTGTGTGAACTCCTTCTCATCTCCTTCCAATGGCGGGGAGGCAGCACGGTTCGAGTGCATCAACCGCGCATGGTGGTGATCGTTGAAGTCGGTGCCAGATCTTGACGCACCACCGGGGCCATTACGACCGTCCAAGTCGATGGACTCTTCCTCGAAGTCAGGCGAGGACAAGTCGACCTCCGGACTGGGACTGAGGCGAGACCGCTCCCGCGCCATCGCGTCTTCCTCGTCTAGATCAGCGCTGGAGACACTGGGAGTGATATCCTTGCCCTCTACACCGGGGATGATGACATCGTCCGAGTTCTCTGGAAGAGGCTGACGGGGCAATGTCGTCAAGTAGTAGTACACTTTGCGCGGGTGAATAGGGACCAGTTCTTTTGCCAAAGGACAGGGCGCCAGAGCAGTCCACGGGCGCTTCATGTAGGCACTTAACCGAGAAGATAGAAGGGCTGCAGGGTTCGCAGAGCTATAAGGAGAAAATAACCCGTTAGTATGGCCAGCGATATAGAAGAAGATGAAGATCAAAAGAGGGGCACGTACTTTGCGACATTCTCATTCAATGCGATAAGAACGGCAGCCAACTCCTTCACCAAATGAGGACGATTTCCAGTCTTTTCCAACTGCTCAATCACACCAACCACAATGTCATCATTGATCCCCTCGGTGTCGATCTTAGTCGCGACAGTACCATCGGTGGGGGATGGCGGTGGCGTATGTTCCAAAGGACCGCGCCGCCCACTCTGACGTAGAGGAGCGGCGGATTCCTTGCCATCGGGAGTGCGCGCAGAGGAAGACGAGGAAGGCTCGGGAGATAGCGAGTATGCCGAGTCGTGCGACCTCTTCACTTTCTTGGAGGGAGGGAGCTGATCATCGGTCGCGTGAGGCGATTTCGTGGCGGAGGGAGAGCGGCGAGATGTATTAGGGAGGTGAATTCCCAAGGAGGGGAGCGACAACGACTTGCGACGTGTATTATAAGGCATAGTTGCGTAGTCGGAAAAAAAGAAGGGAAGGAAGGTGGTCAAAAAGGTGTAGTAGGGGTACAGTGGAAATAGGAGAACGATAGGCGATAATGGAAGTAGTAGTAGTAAAGTAGTATACCGATAACCACACAAAACACGAGGGAGGAACAATACAGTATAGAAACAGGGAAATAAAAGTAGCACTAAGAGTAGCAAGATAATAGTCTAATAACACACACACAGAGAGACACAGATAAACAGACAGATAGAGAGACAAGAAAAATAGGATAGAAAGGGAGATGGTGAGAAAGATTTGGGGGGGAAAGGGGAAAGTAGGGTAAATGTTACAGGAAGTATGGTGCACAGGGGAGGGGGGGGGGGATGAGGGAGGGAGGGAGGATGGATGAATGGATGGATGGGAAGGGAATGGGAGAGTTAGGGAAGGATGGGCGGCGGCGGCGGCGGTGATGATGATGAGATGCCGACCGGCTGCACGGGAAGATGGGGACAGGACAGAGAGGCAGAGAGAGCAATGGAAAGGCGAGGGAATGGGAATGGAATAATCACCGGAACGATCGTTGGCCAGTTAGAGACCGGCCGTACTTACCGTCGGAACAGGAAGCAGCAACGATGGTAATCGAAATAGTAATGGAAATAACAATAGGAAGGCACGAAGCCTGAGGAATCCGTTCCGTGAGGTGGATATGTTCAAGTTGGGATAAGTTTGGATGTGATGGTTTCCACCTTTCGAAAAGAAATTTTTTCTTTTCTTTTTTTCTCTTCTCTCTTTTGCGCCCCGGGTGAAAATTAAAATGGGCAAAAACGGGTGGATGTTTTAGGGTGGCGATTATTGGTCCGACGCACGATGGGGGGTGTGAATTTTATTGGGGATTTCCAGGAATGCCGGGATGGGAATTGGAACTGGTGTGCCCCCCCTCCGATTCCCTCCATTAAAAGGAAAAATGAGAAGAAAAAAATAAAAATAAAATAAAAATTCAAATTTGAAGACGTGTCTTGTTTTTGTTATTCCATTCAAGGGGATTGTTATCGCTGCTTTTGGATCTATCTCTTTTCTCTTCAGCAACCCCCCACAGTCGGAAGATTGAATACACTCTACTAAGAAGAGACTAGAGGATGTACACATCTACACCGCTTTATCCCAATTCCCTATTCTCAAAGGAAAGAAGGAAAAAAACGTCCGTGTGTCGCGACCAAAGCAACCCAAGCACACAAAAGAGCGTCAACTGGACACACACTGGGAAGGAGACCGGCCGAGGGCGAAAGATGGGCGAGAAGCGAAACTAAAACACGGCCGATGGACTGAAGGGGGAAAAAGTACGGTGGAACCAACCATGTGTCTATGACGACCAGAATGAAAGCCCGCGATGGTGATTGGTGGAGGAGACCGTGATCAACTGAGGTTCTGCATGGACTCCATGATGGAGTATGCTCCGTGGAGTCAATCCAAGGGAGGGCGAATCGGGTAGCTACTGCTGGCTAACCTGCAGCTCACTAGAGCGCCTTGGGACCTGGTTGCTGCGCAGAAATTTTTCTGATAGATAGACAGAAACAAACAAGCCCTGCTCGAACATCCCTAACCCGCGATCAAGGCGACCGACCTACTGACTGACTTACTACTTCCAGCCCAGTTTCTTGAACTTCCAGACTAAAACTCGAGTGGTTGTTTATTTGTTTTCTTTTTCTCACCGACAGATTCCGCGAAAATCGGACCATTCTTTGGGACTGTCGGATTTGATGTTTCTTCTTTTTTTTTCCCTAGCCTCTAACAAGAAGTCTTCTGCTCGGTCGTTTTGTCTAAAAACTACGGGGCAACACTTCAAACTACAATGGTATATACTGTGTCCCTCCCACTGACGGCAAAACGGCGGCAACCACCTACGGGTAGATGCATCATAGCTTTAACATCTTCCATGGTACTCATCAGCCTAGCTTGAAGGAATGCTTTGGTCCATGACAAGTGGGTGTGAAGTGTGTTGGCCATGGGAGCCTAGTGCTGGGACTCGAAAAAGCAGGACCAAACCTTGGGACAGAAAAAAAAAAAAAAAAAAAAAAAAAGGGACACACACCACCACCGAAAAAAGAAAAAATGAAAGGAAGGGAAAAAGCACTACACACAAGAGCCTTACACTAGCGCATAGCGCTGCTGCAGGCGCTAGCCTTCCAAGTTACTTGACTTATGCACTAACTTCGTAGGAGAAATGGAGGCAGGCAAAAACGCAACGAATCACGGTGCACATAGTAGCTCCACCTACAACCGCGGTCCCAAGGATAATCGTTCCTAGCGTCGCCGTTTGGAGCCTATGGCGAATCAGATCGGCGAGAGTGGAGTAGATGCCGGGTCGTCTAGAAGATTGGAAGAGGACCCAATCGGATGGATGAGAGGTCGCGCTAAGACCAGAGCTGGACAAAGGGCACAGCGCGCTCCTTTCTGCATGGAACCCGGGCCTCGCCACTCCTAGTCTTGGCTGGGGGAAGCCTGTGGATTTGGGATACCGCGACGAGGCTGTCATGCATATTGCTGTGCACTGCAGTAGCAGGGGGAGCTGGCCAGCTCTCTTGTAGATAGATAGTGGTTGATAGGACAAAATATACCTATGGCCTCATCTATGCGATGTGTGTGTGTGCACACACAGACACACACAGTAAATATTATCTGCCTCTCCTACTGTAGATCGGGAAAATGAGCGATGTATCACATCTCAGCAAGGGATCACCAACCTTATGCGACAGGTGGATGATTCACCAAATCATCTGAGTCACCATTACCAACGAATACTTAACTATGAATCATTCCAGGTCTCATCTTCATACTCCATCGTTAGTTACCTGTCTGTTGCCTAGGAGGAGAATGTTATCCATTATTGTTTCCAAGTATGTTCTCGACGGAGCAACAATAAATAATGCAGACAAGACAATGGGTTGGTTAGTTAGTTCACAGCCACTCTCCACCCTCCACTTTCTCTCTCCACCATGCATTCATCATTGTACGTATGCAATTGTCATAGTTCCTGCAGTCCAGGGAATGCAATGCAGATGGACGGGAAGAGGATGGATAGAGACGGAGAGGTGGGAGAGTGGGTAGGTAGAGTGGAAGGGGAAGTCGTACAACTCACATGCTGCAATGTACGTAGTATGTATGTATGTATGTACTTTATCTCCACCCTCTCTCTTCCGTGGCGGGCAGCATCTGCAGCTGGAATACAGACAGACAGGCTGGGAATTGAAGTTGTGTATCGTCATCGGCAGCACATCATCATCCCACCTCTTCAGCTTTTGTCGGTGCACAGATCGTCAGGATTTCATGCACGGTACTCTTGGTGATGGGTCTGTCCCACTATTCAGCTCTCGTATTCAAAGCACTGATGTGTCTATTTACTACCTATGTAAAAATAAAAGTATATGAGTAACTAAATGGCAAGTAAGCGTCAGCCGAAGTATATCACTCCTGAATTCTAAATGCTATACTCCGTAGATAGTAGTACTAGTAGTAAGTAGTCTAGATCAGGGCTCTCGGAACCCTGACCACTCAGTGACTACTACTATCTACTACTAACTCTCCGTACCTTTCAACGCAAAGTAAAATAACCCTCACCCCAATAATAGAATAGACCGCATGTTCCCCCTCCCTCCCACTTCCTCCCTACATCTAAAGCATGTACCTAAACCACTCCCAAACTTCAATATATCCATCAATACCTGCACAACACCGTCACAAACAAACAAACAAACCGAGATATATTCTCCGCACCTCCTACTACGTATACAGATAAACTTTATCCTACATACACATACATATACAATACCTACATTAATAAAAGATAATATATACACTGTATCCTGTGAGGAGACCTACATACCTACATACAGGTAGCATCCCAGTCTAGCCTACATGTAGTTTAGTCCACGCCAACACATCTATGTTTACCCCGCAGACGCAGATCCAGAGAGCATCATCGTAATCACAACGCCATCTTGACTTCATTCTCGACGATCTAATGCTTCTATCGTTCTCAGATGATCGGGTCAAACCTTGGTTTTGATGGATTTTCTCAACACCGGTTTTGGTTTGGAATTGTTGGCCCGGTGATGTTGGTTCTTTCTTGGAGGGATGGTGATGTGTTTGCGTCGCGTGACCGGGGGGGGGAAGACGTTGGTTGTTGGTTAGAGGGTTAGAGTTTGGTAGTAGGAATTAATAGGTACTGGTATAGTATTTATTTTGGCTAAGTAAAGTATGGATTAGACTGGGGTTAGAATAGTGGTTTGATGTTTCGGTTACTATAGTACCTTGGTTGGAGTAGAAGTATATTTATTCATGTTTCCATACAAGAATGTCACTGGTTAGGTTAACTACTATGATCATAAGTATTATGCTTACCTCATTATTCGATACTTGTTTACTTTAGTTAAGCTACAAGATACAGCTATGGCTAAGGTGAATAGTAGCGAGTACATACTACGCAAGTCATCTTCACATTGTGATCCAAATTGTCTGATTATATAGTCACAACTATAGACCCCGCTATGCATATTTACAGATACATCCAATCATCCAAGTCTATCAAAATCCCTAGTTAGTAATATACAATTTACATCCTCTATACCATCACTTCTCCCTCCTCGCCGGCCGCAAGACATACTTCCACGTCGTCCCAAAATGCCAGCGCTTCTCTTCCACCACCTCCAACCCACTATCCCGCACAATCTTCCCGATATCCCGATTCCACCAACACCCATGTCTATCCGCATGCGCCGACGCCAAATTATCCAAGATGCGATTGAGCCAATCATAATGCGACCGCCCGTGCTCTAACAACAAGATCTCACCCTTGTTCGGCTCAACAACCGTCCCCAGATGGCGCAACGTGCCCACCGGATCTGGCATCGAACAAAGCCCCATGGTCTGCACCACCGTATCATAATAGCCCTCGTCACCCTTCCGTGACGGATCAACCGGACGCCTAGACACACCTGCCGCATCCTGCACCTCGAAGTTCACCGGCACCTCATGCTCCGGGAATTGTTTCGCGAACTTGGCCTTCGTAATCTCCACCATCTCCGGACTCAGATCCACAAATGTGACGGACCGGCATCCATGCACACCGACACGCCCCTTGTTATCGAGTCCCCTCCGCTGCCCGAGCTCATAATACTGGAGGTTTCGACCCGTACCGCAGCTGACTTCGAGGACATCGCCGCGTGCGCGACTGATCAGGTCTGCGCGCTTGGAGCCCATGCGCATGACTTTCTCGGACATTTCGACGTCTGCGTCGAAGGTGCGCGCGGTGTGGTTGTAGCGGTCGGAGACATCGTGGGGAACGGAGAGAGATTGCGACTGGGTGACTTCGCGACGATAGGAGGCGTAGAGGTAGCCGATGTAGGTGCTGAGAGTGAGGGCGCTGACGCCGAAGATGGTCATGATTCTGGGGGATACGGGGGCGGACGGAGGTGTAGAAGGGAGGTCTTTGAGGTGTTGATTGGCACGTTTAGGTAGGGTTTTGGGTCTGCATATCACAGTAAGTCAGTAGGCGTGAGCTGGATTTGTTGCTGACGGAAAGCGACATGGGCAATGCGGAGTTCGTTAAGACTAACCCGGTGCCATCTGCTACTGGGAATCGAGGCGCTGGCTTGGAAGCAGAAGCAGAAGCAGGCAACTTGGCCTTCTTCAGCGCTGCTCGCCCGACTCGTGGTGCACTCATGGTTGCGGCGACTGGAGTGATATGGAATAAGGTGCGGAGGTGGGAGGAAAAGATGGAGAAGTTGGAGAAACTCAAAGATCGGACACCGACCGCCAAGACAATCAGGCACGAGCTTGTTAATTAATTCTATTTGCCAATGCGCCGTTATCGCTGCATCTCCAAATCATACCACCAATTATATAGTCTCTTTCCCCCCCTCATCTTTTGAGAGTCGACCTCCTCTCAATATACTCCGTTTACCATTCTCACCTTCTCTCTTATCATTATATCTTATTCCTCCACCCGCAACATGACTCTCCCCGCCAACATTCTTATTGTCGGCGGAGGGGTCTTCGGCCGTAAGTCGCACCACATACACACCGCACCCATTCTTTCCCCCGACATTCCAGCATGAGCCAAATTGCTCATTCAATCCAGTATCTACTGCGCTCTCCCTCTCGCACCGTCATCCCAACTCTCAGATTACCCTCCTGGAGGCCTCCCCGATTATCCCCAACCCGCACGGCTCTTCCGTCGACTCCTCCCGTATTGTTCGTGCCGACTACTCCCAACCTCACTACGCCAAACTCGCCGCCGAAGCCCTTGATCTCTGGCGCAACACCGAGTGGGGTAAAGAAGGCCGATACACCCAGAACGGTCTTCTCCTGGTCTATCCTCCCGGTAGTACCAATGCCCGCGACTACGCCAACAAGAGCTACGAAAACGTCAAGCAAATCCCCGGCCAGGATGTCGAACTCCTCCCCACTCGTGAGGAGGTCGCGCGAGTCGCCCCGGCCTACGGAGTGAACCGTAGTGTTGCAGGTGGCTACGTGAACTGGGGCTCAGGCTGGTCCGACGCCGAAGCGGGTGTCCGGTACACCAAGCAGCGTCTGGACCAGGAAGGAAAGGTCATCTTTAAGACTGGCGACGTGAGCAGTCTCCGATACAGCAACGACAAGACCAACAGAGTCACTGGCGTCAACCTTGCCGACGGATCATTTCTGACAGCCGACCTTGTCGTCCTCGCAACAGGTGCCTGGACCGCCAAGCTCGTCGATCTACGCGGTCGAACCGTCCAGACCGGTCAAGCAATCGCATACATTCGCATCTCGGACGAAGAACAGAAGCGTTTCGAGCATATGCCTACGATTCTCAACTTCGCGACGGGCATCTTCATCATCCCGCCGCGCAAAAACATGCTCAAGATTGCCCGACATGCTTACGGTTACGTTAACCCTGTCCAGGTCCCGGTTCCTGGCACCACCCCGGAAGAGGGACAGAACATGCAAGTCAGTCTGCCAGAGAAGGGAGTACCTATTCCTGCCGAAGGCGAAAAGGCATTCCGGGAGGCTTTGAAGGAGTTGATTCCCTCCTTTGCGGACCGGCCATTCGCTGAGACTCGCGTTTGCTGGTACACTGATACGTGAGTGCCCATTCCCCTTCAGTTATCCACTTGGTTGAATTCCTGGCTAATATATACATTTGGGCACAGCCCCAATGGCGACTTCATCATAACATACCACCCCGACCATCCTGGTCTCTTCCTCGCTACGGGCGGCAGCGGCCACGGATACAAGTTCCTCCCCGTGCTCGGCGACAAGATCGTCGACGCACTGGAAGGTAAGCTGGATCCTGCGCTGCAGGACTTGTGGAAGTGGCCCGCTGCAGTGTCGGAGAGTCAATTCGATGGAACCGAGGATGGCAGTCGTTCAGGACCGAAGGGGTTGCGGTTGATGGACGAGTTGTTGAAGACGAGAAAGGCGAAGAGGGGTAGCTTGTTGTGAGGAAACAAAAGGTGGCGTACATAGATTGAAGTTTGCTGTGCTGTAGACTTAACTAGACTGTATATATTGATCGTGTAAATATGCAGTGAAAAGAATGTGTGTATGTATGGAGGTTGGGAACATACTACGTGCACTTGGTTTGATGAGAAGGAGAATATTCCAGGAGGGAAAGAGAGAAGATACATCACAGTCGGATTGTGATACAAGTTCACATCAAGGCAGAGAGTCGTTGCATTAGCAGGACCTTCTAGTATTACTATTAACCATGGAAGGAAGCGACTTGAAATCGTATTCAACTATACTCCCTCCGTCCCTTAAAATCCGTTGGCAATCTTGCGAAATAGCAAGGTATCCAGTGAAGTCTAAGTTCCCCCTTCACCAAACACCTTCAGCACAACCTAACCATCTACTTCACATAAATATCTATCTACTCTCCCACACCTTGTGCAAGAGTTTCCAGCCCAAATTACCAAAATCTGCACCAAAGCTTCTCAGCCATGGAACGACTCCCGATTTGTTAAGCACCAAAGAAGGCCGGGAGTCCATTCACGTTCTTCAACACATGAAACTGGAACTATGCCTATCAGCACATCGTACCCAGGGACAAGGAGAGAGAGACAAATTAGGGCTTCAGGGGATGATGTTACGGATATGGTTGGTTGGTGGGTGGGTTGGTTGGCATTAAACAGGGCGTGTGAAAACTTCAATTGTGGTTTCATCCCATCACCGATATACAAGAGGTAAAATCAAATCTAATCCTATTCTTCTAGTCGAATTAGATTTTCATCATTCTATATCTGATGTGTGTGTGTATGTTGTTAATCAAAACTCATTATGTAGACGGACAGACAAGGACATTGAGTACTACACCAAATTAGTGCAGTCAGTTCTTCATTGGAAAAAAGCATGGCCGACGTGAGCTGACCTCAAAAGACACACAAAGTACTACGTACATAACGTCCAGACAGGTTCTAGCTGCATGACAATAATGTACCACCCACTGTTTCAGGAAGAACAGGGGGTGGAGGGGGGTGGAGATAATAACCCCGAATCACGGGGAAATTAAATTCATGCAAGGGTCCGTCCGTTCGCAGGAGTTATCTCATCTATCAGGTACACACTTTAATAAGACACACAGCCAAGACTAATTAAACTATAAACTACTACAAGCTACTACATAGTTTTAAGATTAATGTCCGACACACTGACGTTCTACATCATATGACACTGGTTCAGACAAGGGATATGCGCATGCATGTCTCGAGTTCATTTTCTACCCATAAAAGTAATAAGGAAATAGTTAAGAATAATTATGCCACTATTTGGAACCTGGGCACGCGCGCCCATCCTTCATTCTCCCAGTGTGTATTTCATCCACTTCCGTAGCAGAGCGTAGCGATCTAGAACAATAAACAGGAAAGATTTTTTTGGGTGCTTGAGCTTGAGTTAACCCTCCGAATCAATAGCAAGCAAGTCCTCGGAGGTCCGAACCACCTCGAGCGATGACCAAAGCCATACACATCGAGGATCACTGCCAATAGGCAAAGAACAGAAAACCAATAATTAGAAGGAGGCAACCATTCGACCAGCGCACAGTACCGCCCCCTTGAATCTGCGGTGTGCGACTATCTAAGATGGTGAGACACTTTGTTTGTTGAAACAGGAAGGAAAAAAAAGGGACAATAGAGACCAATCGCTCGAACGCCGTACAGATGCTAGCATGAAAATCGTGATGTGCAAAGGTGTAGAAGAGAGAAAAATCGGAACAGCAAAAAAAGCATCAGCCGTGCTGGGTTGAAGCGCGTTGTCCGTTCATAGTACAACCTCGCGGGCCAGTGCAAGGGGAAAAGCCAAGTGTTAATACAAGTTGATGAAGATGGGAAGGACGAGGTGGTCGAGATCTTCCTGAGAAAAGGCGATGCCCTTTTAGACTTTACGGAAATCTTTACAGCTGGTTAGCACGATGTCCACTTCAAATCCGAAGTGAGGGAGCAATGCATACCCGAAAGCACAGGATAGATCAGTTCGAACGCCTGGTAGATCTCCTCACGGACCTTAGCACCAGTGAGGACGATCTTTCCACTGACGAAGATAAGCAGCACGATCTTAGGCTTCATCATGCGGTAGATAAGACCGGGGAACAACTCAGGTTCGTAGGAACTGAAGTTGTGATGGCGACTGGCCAAACCCTCCAGGCGGATGGGGAACTTGATATCGCAAGAACCCACGATGTTCTGGATCTTGAAATCCGTGAACTTGGCATTGAAACCAAGCTTCTGAATGATACGTGCGTATTTTCTGGAAGCCAGCTTGGAGTCATCCTCCGACTTGGCACCAGTAACCACCATCTTGCCGGAGGCGAAGATCAAAGCGGTCGTCTTCGGCTCTCGGATACGCATGATCACGGCCGCGAAACGCTATTGGAAGAAAAAAGAACAGTTCAGCCACACTATGCCCTGACATATCAAGCACAGGGAGGTGTGGAAAGTAATACCTTAGGGTTGTACTCCGCATTTCTTGCGTGGAGAGCGATCGTTTTCAAGTCCAGACGACAGTCAAGGTTGACCGTCGCGACAATGTTTCTTCAAAGAAAAAGAGAGATCATTGTTCAGTAATCTGGTGACCCAGAAATAGAGACAGCAAGAGTATACTCACTGCAACGTAGGCACAATGCCACTTCCCGGAGTGTTGGCACCGGGAGTCGCAGCTGGAGTTGCGGGCGCCACCCCGTTGCCATTAGCGGCATTTCCTCCCTGCTGCTGACCGTTCATCATCCCATTCGCACCCTGAGCCATCGCCATGTTTCCGTCTTTATCGGAAGGCGGAGTCAAATCGCCGGCACCACCGGGGAAGGACAGAGAGGCGGGGGAAGTGAAGGCCCGGGCCTGCTGCGCGGTAGAAGGATGGGTCGTAAGAGAATCCATCGCGACGTGAGTAGTGGAATACTCGAGCCGTAAACCAGCCGACGCTGAGAGTAGATAGAAAAGCTTTTTGCAGATAGCAGTCTGTGTAGACGCAGAGCTCAAAGTCAGTCAAGAGAGGACAGACAAGGTGAGTGACAGATGGAGATGACGCTCAAAGAGACTCAAGAGCGACAGGCACCTGAGGTGTCTGCCAGGAAAGGCAAGACAAGTGAGGTCAAGACCAAGTGAAGAGAACAACGTACCCTTTGCGGGAGATGGACAAGTCAATGTCTCCCCTGCAGCAATACTGCTCTGGGATCCAAGCAATAAACCGTTTCGAAGACGAAACGGAATGAAGTCAAGGTGGAGTGCAGAGGTATGTGACAGGCGATGACAAAAAGCCGCCGTGGAGGAAGGAGGATAAGGTGGATGGGAAGGGAGAATAAGGCAGCGACCAGGGGACTAGAAAAGCACAGTCAAGTGTTTTCTAGGGGAGATTAACTCAAGAGCAGCAGCGTTCACAAACTTATGGATGGAAGTAAGTGAACAAGTGCAGAAGAAGGGAGTGTGAGATGACAGAAAAAGCACGTTGTTTTTTTTTTTTGTGTAAATGACACAACTTTTTTTTGAGAGGGGAGGTGCGTGTGTTTTGTTTGCTTTTCTTGGTTTTTGTATGAATTGGGAATGTCTATCTGCGATTTGGAGAGAGAGAGTGGCGAAGATGCACACCTGAGGCTGCAAACTTCCTGTTTCAGTAACGGGGACTGATAACGGTTTGGAGTTCAGAAGAAAAAAAGAGAAAAAGGGAAGAAAAGAATTTTTCTTTCCCAATTTGATACTTTTTTTTTCTTGGCTTCCCTAAAAAAACCTTCTTCCCGGAAATGTGTTTAGATCCAGCAGGTTAATAGCAGAGATATAAACAGCTGATATCAGCAGTAATCTCTGCAAACCGTACGTGAGTGTGGAGAGAGTGTATAGGGAGGGGAGGGGAGGATGGCGGGCGGGAAGAGAGGACAGTATGGCTTTCCGGGCGGTGCCAAGACCAGGATCAAAAATTCCAACAGCGACAGGAAAGTGGGAGGTTGGGCCTTTATATAGGCTGAGTCACAGCGCCCGGGCGCAGCTGGCGTCAGGGGGGGCTGGGCCCGGCGGCGGCGGCAAAAGCAGCGACGAGCGGTCGCTTTCACTCGCTTTCCACTCGCTTTCACCCATGGAAGTGGCCGCTCTGGCACTGCTCGCTGCGTGTTAGCGCCTCCACTAGCGGCTCTTGGGTGGCCAAGCGCCATTCCGTCATCTCTGGTTTGTTGATCGGCGACTCCACTCACCACACCTGCGTTCGTTCTCGTTGGCTGTCGCCCCCCTTACGCTGGGGTTGCAGGCCTGCAGCCACTCATCTCCCCAGCCAGTCCGCGTCGCTCCTGCAACTGATAACTCTGATCCACTTTCCAGTCCATCCATTCTTCAGTCTACCAATCATTCCGCCTTACTGTTCTCGGCTTTTTCCCCTTCACTCCTTCTTTTTTTCCTTTTTCATTTTTTTTTTTCTCTCTTCTTTCTTTTGCCTTGCCGCTTTAGCGGTTGCCAACTGAACAAAAATTTCTTCGATCCCTTTCACTCTCTTCCTGATCTCTTTCTTCCGAGCCCCAAAAATACAGCCTTTGGGGAAAATTTTTTTTTGTTGGGCCCGATTCATCGATGATCATCAAGATGATTCCAAAACATTCTAACAGATCATTACTTACACTACACTATCACAGTCACAGCTAACCGCTGTTGATGATTCTCATTCTTGAGTCACAGTCTTCCTGTTTGTCCAAGAAAGTTGGACCAGTCGTGAGGTCGCTCATCCCGGTACGCGCCGGTCGCGTCGTCGGTCGCGTCATGGGGTTCATCCCGCGCGAGGCTGTTCTCGCCTCTCATTTGGCGTTTGATTTGCCGCTTTCCAGCCAAGTTCCATACCATAATAACATACCCCAGACAACTTATAGTAGATCTCAGGCAATTTCCTGCCTTCCGATCCACAAATCTTGCCCCCCTCCGATCGTAGCCTTGCGCTGCGGTCGGTGTTCATTCGATTTTAGTGCAGGGGACGGAAATAGCCTCGACAAGGGTTATAGGCTACTAACCACTTATCGCTTTCACGCGCAACTCAAATCTCAGCTTTTATGGGAAAACTTCCGCGACGCGACTTTTTGACTCAACTGTCGGTCGGTCGGTCGGCAGGCAGCGGCTACAGCCGTGTTCAATACGTAATCCGGCCAGGTGGCCTTTCCCATACTTTTTTTTGCCATCTAAGTTTGTTACCCGCACCACCTTCAGCCTCCCCGGAATATCTAAACTGTGATAGAATGGTTGGTGTGGGATGGATCCCGTTTCAAGTCTATTTTCACTTTTTACTTGACCATGGGTATATGCCGGACGGAGGACATCATGACTAGAATGATGCTCCCGTACCACTCCGTCGGTATTATTAGCTGTGGCCCAAGTGAAGAATCAGCTTACTGTATACAATAGCAATCGAGACGTCACAAAATAGGCATCTATGCAACATGGGGCAAATTGGAATAAATTCGAAAAAAGTCGGTCGGTGATGAACATCCATCACATGGGCTGTCAGCGTTACTTGTCGCTTGCTTGCTTTGCTTTTTGCTTATTCGGCAAGCGGCAAAAGCAGCATCGCTTTCGCATTCGGGAGCTTGGCGTCATAGGGTCGTTTGTTTTTTTTTTCTATTTTTCGTTTTCGCCCTTTTCATGTGATCAGCATCAACTGTCGGTCACGTTGACACCCCCTTTTTTCGGTTGCTGCATTACTTGATGCAGTAGGAAGTAACTAAGATAGTATACATTCTATAGTTAGTTAATTTCGATTGGTTTATGGTTATCGTGGATCGTCAGTACACCGGTTTCTTGTAGTGATTTTACCGTTTTGGGAACTATATATACTTACCTACTGAACTCTTAGTATACATCACGACTTCACTACAACAACTACAACAAATTTACTACAACTACAGTCCCAGCCTAAACAACACCCACTTTCTTAACGAAAAAAACTACTATTCATTTTATAACCCCCCAACCTACCTCCCAACGCCCCAAAAAAATCACCTAGTAATACTACGTAGTAATCCCTATCTCAACCCCCTCATCCCGGCCCCCGGCGCCGGCAAATAGGGCAAAACCACCTGCTTAATAAACCGATCACTTAACCACGCCGACAGGGTCAAAAAATAAATCACCAGGAAGAAGATCTGCGGATCATTACACAGGCGATTAAACGAGCCAAAAATCTGCGTGAGGAGACGATCATCCTCCGAGTCGAACTCCTCCAGCGGCTTATCCACAGGAAGAAAGAAGCTATTCGCTTCTTGCTCCCGCGTCATGAGCATGATGTTCTCGCGCCGGAATTGGTTCACGGTTCCTTTGCCGCTGTCGGGGATGCCGCGGACGTAGAGGAGGGGGTAGTGGTCCATTAGGTTGGTGAGTTTGGTGAGGGTTGTGTGCCGGGGGTCTTCTATTATCATCTCTCATTAGTTTAGATATTGGTTGGTCCGGTTGGTTTGGGGGAGGAATGTTCTATGAGATAGGGATAGAGGGGGGATAAGGGAAGGGAAGGACATGCCTTTTCGTTGGATATCGATATCAATGCCCTCGTGTTCTGCGATGGAGTGCTCGCAGTCGATGCATTGATCGCTGATATCGTTGGTATGGGTTAGAGAGAAGATTCCCCTGTTGCAGGGACAATCTAGGCCTATATTGCCGGATTTGAGTTCCGCTTTGCATTTCCCGACGGCCATGAGGCGGGTGGATGGAGGAGATGATGAGGAGGATGAAGTGGAGGCGGCGGTGTCGACCACTTCTACGACGTCTTCGTCGTCCATTGGGGAGGAGGGTCCAGGGGTAGTGGTTAGGGTTCGAGTTGATGGTATGCTGGTGGAATTAGTACCAAAGATCATGTTTGCTGTTGACGGTTGATTGATCGTGTGTTGTATGATGGTGATGGTGATGGTGATGGTGATGGTGAGTTTGGTCGTAGTAGGCTTGATAGTCGTGACAACTTGGGATTCGGAGACAGATGTGCGCTTTTTATAGCTGTGTCGCGCCATCCAGTGATTAAGATACTTTCTGAAGTGAGTTCCGTGAAGGTTTGGTCTAGATTGTTACTTCGGAGCATTGATGGACTGGTAGTTGCGGGGGTTAGGGTGTGTATGACGGTGTTGTGAGGTTAGGGGATATATCCCTTTGGGGGTTGTGATGGGGAAGTGATGGAATTCGGGTGTATTTTCGGAGGTGTGTTCCTGGATGCTTGTCATTTTGCATGTGTTAGTTGGTTGGTTGGTAGGTTGCATCATTTGAAGTAGATGCTCGTGGGAGAGCCATAATGGCTTCGCTGTGAGGTTGCTAGGCTCGTTGTGATATTATAGCACATCTACCATCAGACTTGCTTTAGCTGCCCTAACATTCAGCTTGCACATTATCTAGAAATCTGCGCTGCTTCCAGGTAGCTTACGCTGAGCAAAACAGCCTATTTCCCGAGTAACCGGTATACTCAGTATTCATCGTCACCGCAAACTATGGAGTACAACTATATATACAAGGCCCCGTCCGGGCTCAACACGCAATAACGTAACAGGCATCCACCGGCCTGGAAATGAAACATGATCAAACATTAGTAACCAACGCCACAATGGATACTCTAATCCATCCAATCCTTTTTGTACCCTGATGAAGGGTAGAGAGAAATATGTAAGTGTTGAAAAATCGCTAGGCCTAAGTCATGAAGTACTTCGGGCCCTCTCCACCTTGAGGTGTCTGCCAATTGATATCCTGGGTAGGCACCTTGATGTCACAGGTCTTGCAGTGAATGCAGCTATGACTGGTTAGCAAGAGAAACAGTACGAGCATCCGGGCTTGACTTACTTCTGGGAGTTGATCTGGAAGCGCACGCCGTGGGGCTTGCTAGAGTCCTCCACGTACTCATACACACCGGCAGGGCAGAAGCGGTTCTCCACACCCTGGTACTTGGGCCAGGCAACATCGGTGTGCTTGTCCCAGTCCTCCACCTGCAAATGCACTGGCTGATCTTCCTCGTGGTTGGTACCCGTGCGGCTGACGCTGGTGAGAATATCAAAGCTGATCACTCCGTCGGGCTTGGGGTACTCGATCTTGTTGCATTCAGACGCCATCTTGGTCGCAGCAGCATCCGTGCCATGGTGCTTCAAAGTCCAGGGAGCCTTGCCCTTGAGAACGTATGCTTCGAGACCAGAGTACAGGATACCTCCATAGAGACCCAGTGGCGTGCTGAAAGAGGGCCGCATGTTACGCACCTCGTACAGCTCCTTCCAGATGGACGACTTGCGCAGAGCTTCTTCATAGTCGAACAGGAATACAGAGCCCTCCGAGCTGCCCTGCAGGGCCGCATAGGCGGATTCGGCAGCAAGCATGGCCGACTTCATTGCGGAGTGTGTGCCCTTGATCTTCGGAACGTTCAAGAATCCAGCACTATCGCCGATAAGCGCTCCTCCCGGGAAAGCGCACTTCGGGATCGACTGGAATCCACCCTCGTTGAGAGCCCGTGCACCGTACGAGATGCACTTTCCACCTTCGAGGACGTCCTTGTACAGAGGGTGGTGCTTGAGCTTCTGGAACTCGCCATAGGGCGACAGCCAGGGGTTCGGGTAGTCCAGCCCAACCACCAAGCCAATGCTGACCATGTTGTCGCCAAAGTGGTACATCCACGCACCACCATACGTGTCACTAGGAAGGGGGTATCCCAGGGAGTGTGTGATCTCACCGGGCTTGAACTTCTCGGGCTGGATCTCCCAGATCTCCTTCACACCAATACCGTAGGTCTGAGGCTGGCTATCGCGCCTCAGGTCGTACTTCTTGACCACCTGCTTCGTCAAGCTACCATGGCAACCCTCAGCAAGAAGGGTCACGCGGGCGTGGAACTCCATTCCCCGCTCGAAGCTGTCCTTGGCCTTGCCGTCGCGACCAACACCCAAATCATTGGTGGCCACACCGAGGACCGATCCATCTGACTTCTTGTAGACGAGTTCACTGGCCGCAAATCCGGGGTATACTTCAACACCCAATTCCTCAGCCCTTTCTCCCATCCACTTCGTAAGTTCGTTCAGACTGATAATGTAGTTGCCATGGTTGTTCATCTGTGGCGGCGCAGGGATCGGAATGGCCGAGTTTTTGGTCAAGAAGCGCATCTTATCCTCCTTCGCCGGAGTCACATTCTCGAAGCGAGACGGATTGTCTTCCGACAACCAATCTGGCAACAGCTCGTTCATGGCGGTAGGCTCCAGGACGTTACCCGAAAGGACGTGTGCACCCAGTTCACCGGCCTTTTCCAACACGATGACACGGAACTCCTCGTTGCCGGCTTCGTTGGCGAGCTGCTTCAATCGGATGGCAGCAGCCAGACCAGCAGGGCCTATGTTGTAATAAAGACAGTCGGTTAGTTACTAAATCCTGTACCATACCTCTATACGCCAAACGAAACAGGTCCGGGTCATTCTACATACCACCACCGACGATACAGACATCGACCTCATCCGACTCCCTGTCCAACTGTCGCGGATCAAAGTTGCCATGCTCATCAGTCAGCTTTCGGGATAGTGATTGCGAAAAGGCTCGAGTCTGAACGGGCGGGAAGAACGAGGTGCGACGAATGGCACGCTTGCCGGACGCTGCGAGGGAGCTGTTCGAGATTCGGGCGGAGTTGCTGAAGGGGGCGAGAGAGGCGGAGGGTCTGGAGAATCGCGACCAAGTGGGTCGCAATTCGCGCCTCAGAAGAGGCAAGACAGCTCCTTTCGAAGCCATGGCGGAGTTTCAGAAAGGGAGCAATGTAGGAGAGGAGATGTCACAGTGCGTTGCTTGAATGGGGAGCTCCTATAAACGAGACAACTGCATGGTAGGATGGGAGTAAGCAATGGGGGAAAGGTGTGGCGAACGAGAAGGGCACAGGAATGACACCAAGCGGGATGGTGAGGGAGAAGGAAGAAGCAACTTTCAAGCGTGGGATCCAGATCAGAAGAGTAAGTAGGCTAAGTAAGTCCCCTCTCCGTCACCGGCAATGGAGAACGTGACTAAGAAGAATATGGCGGCCGTGGGATAAAATTTGGCGGTGGGTGCTGGAGGTTGCGGGCAGAACTTGGCCTGCCTTGGGACTACCCGAGGCTATGTCGGCCAATGGGAGGCTCGGTGATGGGAATCACTCGCACGCTTGCCGCTCCGCCCGCGGGTTTGCCGTCAATCCCGTCGGATATGATCTTCTACTAGTACTAGTAAGTATCGAGTCTCGACACATGCGCCGAGTATCTAGATAGCCGTCTTCGGATATATCATGGCTGCCACTCTCCATCCGAGTGAACCCACCATGGAGTCAACTTCAGAGTGCTAGAAGATATCTCATGTCAAGTGCTGGTCTTCAATATTGAACTCAAAGTTGGCATCGGCTATGCTACTTAGCACAGCTAATGTGAGACAGAGAGGTGCCGGTAAAAAGATCACCCATACCTTTAGATAATATTTTACTACTAATCCTGTACAAATGAAGTATTCAATGACAGCCGCTCAAAGTGACAATCTCCCAAATAGTAAGAGAACAAATTGCCCAGCATCTTGATGATTCATTTGCACGTGATTCGGGCATACCCCAAAGGAGAGCCATTATCATGTGAAGCGAAGCCTCCGAACGGATGCTCTTCTATATAGCCTGACACTTAGTGCTCTGTGCTGCAGGGATCCCCGCTTAGGGCTATACTAAGATCGTTTCCTCATAAGTGGAGCCACTCCAGTGTCTATTAGTGCAGACTATGGCTTCATGCCCTTTACCGCTGCACTGGACCGTTGGCATATCCATCATACCCTATATTTTGCACCCTTCATACCTACTCTGCTTTCTAGACAGTGTACCATTTTAATTACAGTCATATGATATGATTATGATGAATACCTCATCTCTACTTCCTCCGCCTGTCTCGACATCATGCAGCGGTGACTGCTTTTGGTTATTCCTACTTCTCCTATATATATTCTAGGGATAAAGCCTTAGCTCTTGTCGAAACGGTGTGGGCAAAAGAAGTACATCTGTACTACACCGTTGCCAACATTTTTCAGTTTATCTAGCGACAAGATTTTGGAATTCTATCTGTTGATTACTATTATCTCATATGACTATACGTGGGGTTGGAGTCTCACTCGCCGTTGAGTCAACATCAAGAGTACAATTACATCCATAACCATTTCGGAGGTTGTCAGATGCCAGAGAGTGTATTCGCTACATACAATTCAAAGCCAGTCTCATCCATATTAACCATACCACCCATTATACCATCTAAAACCAATGCAAGGTATCATATCTTGATCCCTACATCTCAACCCTGTGTCGTCAGTGCAGCGACAAGAACGACACCTGCGAAACGCTTTTGGACGCCCCAATTGCTACGACTTGGCTGACTGGCTACGCTCCCCGGGGTTGCTTGGTTATGTCGGCGATGTCATACAGATCTTGGACTGGTATGCTAGCTTCTATGATGGACCTGAGGAAGGTCAGGAGGGCTGGGATATAGAGGTGATTATGCTCGCCAAAGAAGCCATCATTCGCCTTGAAAACACGGAAAGTGGGCCCGAGGCCTATTGCCACAATGCCCTGAGCAGCCTTTAGTGTTCATCTGGTGAGGCTCGTGAAGAACGAGGCTGTGGAGAGGCTCGCCAATTGGTTGAGGACTTTGCCACTTGGTATGGACATGATGTTGAAAAGCGTATATACCGCAGGGTCGATTTATTGCGTCCTATTGCCTGTCTATCCCGTGTGTTTTCGAACTACTTTTGAGGTACCAGGGTATAAGCTTATGGGGGCGGGGGGTGACCAGCAACAACATACTACGAGCCTTCTTCCAACTGTCAACGACTGCGGCAGTTGAAAGTAGCTCACAGAAGGGTAGAGACAAGAAGGAGAACCGGAATTCCATAACTCCGAATATATCTTAAACTCAAGCAATCTATTGGACTATGCATATTACTTTCCTTCTGTCTCTTTTCTTCATTTTTGGAACGCCGCGCGTCTTTTATTCTTCACACCCCTTTTGACGTGGTGCTGCGATTCGCTTTAAGTCGTCTACTTAGCATGACCCCCTTAATACACCCCAGCATTTGATTGCTACACGCCAAAGTATAATTGGTTCATATGCCGAATATATTGCGGTGATGTGTTGTCTCTAAACTGTTGTACGCCGGAAATGCGGCATACGTCCTGTAGGCTTCGGCCAAACACGTAATACATACCAGCATTCTATAAGCGTTCTGCCTGCATCTCGGTCGCTAGCATAGAATGGATGGTCTCACTGTTCAAATATAGCAAAATATGAGGATTTTGCGTAGGCGTTTCAGTGGCAAAGTGTCCAGAAAACTCAACGTTAGTATACAATCAACACTCGCCGCTTCATGACATGGCAATGTTATACCATACTATTTTTAACACACTGGGTAGAATAGTGCGCAATCAAATACAATGTAAAAGGGGTCTGGTGTTTTCCAGAGACACGTACATAACATTAAGATACTATCTCATCCATGTATTTACTAGCGGTAGCGATGGCTATAGTGAAGTATATTCATTGTAAGTAGAGTATCTCAAGGACTGCCTACTTAGTACATAGTACACGCTGTGCAAATACACAAAGTATGTCCATGCCGATCAAAGCCAGAACGTCATCGTCGTAACTAGCATAGTCAACAATGTTATAAACGCAATTTGTTTTGCTGCTTGAATGAAAGGCTGACTATAATCACAGGTAGATCCTATTACATCAACGCAAATATATAAGATTGCAATGTAATATTGTCCAGCCACCCTGTGGCAAATATGCATCACTTTGCCTGATGATGAGATCAGTCATATTCATTGGAGCTGAATCTCAGCTGCGACTGCCATCCCTGCAGAATTGACAGCCTTGTTAATTGCTTGGCAGGGACTAGACCCAGTGCAGATTAGTGGAGGTTCCATTTTTTCTACATTAATATATTAGTATGGGGTAGATGTTGAACAGTAAACTACAAAGTAGATGACTAAAGAAGACATACTTCAATCATTGATATGATATACTTAGTGAGATCATTGTACATCCTGCTACCATTGCCTAATATACTATTGGTGCTGTATGTGTCCTACCTAGTATGTAGAATGCCGGAATGATCAAAGCATTCAGCTACTTTAGTAGGAAGCTTGACCGGGCCACCCGAGTGGGCTGAAGCCGAGATAATTATAGAGAGATGCAGCAGGGCTGTACCGGAGTAGTGGTGCTGGTTCAGAAGTGTTGAGTAAGATAAATGTAGATCGGCTGCTCAGCATAATAGATTCTACATGAATAACTTATAAATATGGGCAACAGCACTGCCTCTGTAGCTAGTAGAGAGTGACATAGTGGACAAAGTACTACAGAAAAAGGTCAGGCGGGGCCACGTGGATCCCGCCGAGGGAAACAAAGTGAGGCGATTCCAGACTGCGGCCTCTGATTGGGTGCCTTCCCACCGCCAGCATCAAGTTGAATTTCCATTTCCACCCGGATTTCTGGTTTGGCAGGGCGGTCAGCCTCTCCCAATCAGTTCGCGCTTCTCCTCTTTTCCCTGCTGTGACCCGGTCCATTCGCCCTCAAAACTCTCCTTTCTCCCTCATCTTCTTCTGATCCTGCCTGTCTCGCTCTCTTTGCCCAGCGCTTCCCTGGATTCCCCGTGCTGCCGCTCTCCTTCTCCCGCTCGACCGGATCTCCGTCACCATCTAACCCTCTTCCAGTCCCGATTGTGTGTGCGCGCGCGTGTGAAAGCCAGCTCTTACCTGAGAGCTACTTCATCTCTGGTTCAGCTGTCCCCTCAGCGTACCAAACTATCCTCTCCTTGCTTCCCTAATCAGTCAGGCCCACCGTTACCTTCTGGAACCGTTCTATGGTCCTCGCATTCCCCGGATAAACACCAGGAATTATTACTTTGCTGAATACTGCCGCCATCACAACTTCCAGCTCTAGATTGCCCAGGATAACGACCCATTTGACCCCTCAAGGATCTGTTTCTCCACGGTCGCCTGTACCATCATTGAATCGGAATTTCTTGTCTAAACCACGTTCCCGCAAGGCCAGAAGCGTTGCGACTGCGATTTGCTTGTTGATCCGCCTGGACGGATTTCACCTCGACCATTGTGCGCGCTGTGCTAGTCCTATCTCTCTCGCCATCTACTACTACCCGCCATGACTGAGGTCTCGTCCACCCGACTCTATCTCGGGAATCTCCCCCGCAATGGTATGAAGCCATCTACAAACTCTCCTTAGGTCTCCTTGTTTTCTCAACCCGCTCTGGATGTTGCACTTCTTGTCCACCTCTATCTTCGACACAGAAATCGGGATATTCCGCTGGATCGCCATGCGTCTGGATTGACCTCCCTGAGTCACCGAGGTTTTCACCCCTCCGGAGATTGATGGCGGATTTTTCCTTCCTTTTGTTTCAATCTTCCTTGCTTGTGTCACGGTAAACTCAGTTTTCCGGATACTGGGTTGGCAGCTTCGAAATCATATCCAGTTGTCTCGGTTATTTGTTCTTTCAAAACCATTCGCAGTAGGCTGACATTGTACTCACGGCGCCCCGGGTGGGCGCCATTAGTGGGGTTTCTTTTACAGTGACTAAACAGGATATCGAGGAACATTTCAGCACCCATGGTTCCGGAAAGATTACAGAGATCAAGCTCATGAATGGCTTCGGTTTCATCGAATACGAGGATGCGATGGATGCTAGAGATGTTGTACCCGGTAAGTCACCCTGTTTTGCTCCCTAGCTGTCGCGTGACCATGCTAATCTAGGACGATTATCTAGCCTTCCGTATGTACCAACGCAAGCACCATATTCAAAGATCTTCATGGTTGACTTAACTCTCCGTGCAGACGGCAGTGACTTCAAAGGCGAGCGCCTCACCGTGCAATTTGCCCGTGGACCGCGCCGCAAGGAGAACTTCCCTGGCCCAATGGACCGTCCCAACATGCCTCGTCCGCGTCGCACGATCTTTCGCATGATGGTTTCTGGACTCCCGGAAACAAGTTGGCAGGTTAGCAGCCCAAGTCCCCTTTCTTCTGGATCCACCGGACGCCTTGCATCTCGGCCGATTTGCGTTCCCTAATTCATCCTTTTCCTGTACTCCGTTCTATGTTCCTCCACCTACGGCCCAAGGGAATCCTGGCGACGATGATCAGCTCCTCATGATGTATGGGTCGTTCACCAACCAACTTTCGGACCCCACCTAACTGAAAGGAAGGCTGGATGGCTGCCTCCCATGGTCGAACCCCAGCTCTGAGAGCTGAGAGCTGAGGCCGGACAACCCTGTCCAGGATGGAACGCCCTCGCAGTCATCGAAGGATCCCTTCACCTACTACCCTGTATCGCTTGGGTCCCTTCCTGGCCTGTTTTTCCATATTGTATTTTTCTAATTGCTGGCACCCGGACACATCGGATACCACTGTACCACTCTTGCACCTGGATATGGACTCACATCCTGGGGTTATCTAGGATCTTAAAGACTTTGCGCGTCAGTCTGGCTTGGACGTGGTTTACTCTGAAACTGGCCGTGAACTCGGCAGAGGGTGGGTTAATTCTTCAACTTCCTATCCGGTCGGACAGGACCCCATTGACATATGCTCCCAAGATTCGTGGAATTCGAGACCGCCAACGACCTGAAGACGGCCATTGAGAAGCTGGACGGACGTGAATTCAAAGGCTCCCGCGTAACTTGCATTGCCGATGTAAGCAACTTCACTGGTACATATGATCTGAGTGGAACGAAACCTCATACCCTTCCTAGATTCAAACTTACCCGGATGAACGTGCCATTCGTGACCCGTACCGATCTCGGTCCCCTCGTCGGAGTTACCCGCCCATGGATGAGTATGACCGGCGGTTCCCTGCGCCGCGTGGCTACAGCCCCCGGGCTCACTATCGGGAACGCTCTCCCATCCCAATCCGGAGGGACTATTATGACCGGGATGGATACGGACGCCGCACTCCTCCTCGTCCTCGGATGGAAGACTACCCTCCCCCGCGTCGTCCCTACGATGACCCCTACGATGTCCGCCCACCCCCGCCACCTCGCCATTATGATGACCCGTACGCACCCCCTCGCCCTTATGGACGGCCTCGTAGTCCGCCTCGGGGCGAATACATGCCTTACGACCGCCGCGGATACTGGTAGTCGTCTGTAATTAGCTCGTTGGTTGTGTTACCTCAGCGCATGGCGGATACCCATTGTGCATGCTTTCCCCCTTTGTTCTCTTGTTGAACTGGTTTCCCTCATTGCCGTTCCGGATGAGTTGACAATTCCCAATCGGAGTCAGCTTCTGGATTGAACACGGTCTCAGATACGAATGCGTGTGTCAGGTTGACATGGACAACGGAACGACACTGGCGCTTGCTTTCATCACTTGATGTGACCATGATCTCTAGCCCCGCTGGTTCCGGGCTCCGACTGGAAGGATTTTCGAGGTTTCAAAAGTAGGCGTATGTGGACAGCCGTGTCGGTGGTTTCTTTGCCGGTGTGGACGGCTTTCCTGCACATAATGTACGGATGGACCTGCGGATGTGGATGGATCTTGGCCTTTTTTCTTTATCTAACGTAATCACCCACGATGTCGATCATTTCACCCCCCGGGATATTGTGTATAGTGCAACAATCAAATCAATATATAGTATTTCCACGCTTGTTGGTCGTGGAAGTAGGGTACATAGTTACTAGTCTATTATTATGCTAATAAGTTGACTCGCGTGGGTCCCGAGAAAATGAAAGCAGCTCCCCGCGCTAAACCCAACCCCGCCATCGTCTCGTCATCCGCAGCTCACGCGAAATTTCCTTCCAGCGCAGCTCTTTGTCTGAGAATTTTGCCTCGGTGGGACGGCATCTCAAAGTCAGGAAGGCCAATTGATCCATGCGACTGCAGTGGTAGCTTTCTTTATCTGGTTGGTGCTATCTCTACCAAGAGTTCGACTGGGGCTTCCACGCTTACTGGTTGACGTCACAACAGCCCATTGATTGTCTGGTACTCCAGCAGCTGCAGCTTCGAGCTCGTACCCCAGGAACTGACTAGTTCCAGCTCTCTCCTCTCATATCTCTGTCGCCCATCTTACAGTCACCATGGCCGATCAACGCGTAAATGTTCATATCCCATCCCACCCCCCGGTGTTGGACAGCGTGCGTCTTCGCAACATCCAACTGCCCCTCCCAGCTGCCCCGGACCCATGGCACCGTTCCGGTAAATCGCAGCCTTGCACGGCATCGCTGAAGCTCTCCTACTCCTCCGCCGTGGCCGCCGCCATTGCCGACGATGTCTCCCTCTCCTTGGACTACGGCAAGCTTTACCGCCGTCTCGAGGAGGATATCCGTAACCTGGGCAAGCACCCCGAGAACCCGGGACACCGAATGATCAGTGTCGACGGGAGCCGCCGTGACGAGATGTTGGCAAGTGATGTGGGACAGGATGTGCGCTTGACGGCCGGAATTGTGGCTCATTGTGGACTTGGACTGTTGGATGAGACTGCTGCTGGGGTCCGTAGGATGTCGCACGTGCACAACACCCAGCGGAGAAGCAGCGCTTCGGCGGGCTCACAGTCTCAGGCTCTGGCGGCTATTTTCAACTCATCTTCGACTTCGCCTATTGACGGGGTGTTTGGCCAATGTGAGGTGTCTTTGCATCTCCCCAAGGCATTGCTGCGGGCGGACGAAGGACTTAAGTACCGGAGTGTGACGGTATGGGGGTATCGTCAGGCTAATGAGGCTGTTACGGACGATGTGGGAGAGTCGGAGCGCTGTCCGGTCGTCCTGGAGGAGGAGTTCCGCATTGATGGGATTCGGTGCTACTGTATCTTGGGCGTCAACTCTCACGAGAGGGTGGAGAAGCAGGCTGTCATTGTCTCTCTGGAGTTTAAGGGTCCTGGACAGCTGCCTTGGGGGTCTACGGTGGTCAATACGTACCAAGCCATGACCCGGGCTGTCGCTGAGGTGAGTTCTCCTTCAATGTGTCTGTGCTTTTCTTCCCTGGGTGTTAGGCTAATCCAACCTACGAATTACTAGCGGGTCGAAACCACCTCTTTCCAGACGGTGGAGGCCTTGGCGACATTTGTCGCGCGCATTGTCACGGTGGAATTTGGGAATGAACGGGTGACAGTGCGGGTTGAAAAGCCCAGTGCGCTGGCCTTCGTGGAGGGATCGGGGGTGGAAATCACTCGGTCGCAGGTCTTTTTTGAAGGGAGAGATGCATGAAGAGCTGCAGGGGGTTTTGGATGGATCTGAACCTCTAGTACAAAATAATTACTAAATAGTTGGTTGAGGCGGGTGGAGTTAATAGCCCGTCGGTAGATCTACTACCCCTGCATAAGCTACAGTAAGTAACTCTATAACAAGATCCTGTGATAACGCCTTCCTCCTTCTCTCCTCCCTCTAGATACACATATCGTAGTATAGCCACTCAAGTACTTCATCGTACACAGTATCAGTGGCTCTGGTTCCTCAGGCAGCTTCCCCGGATTGCCCAATCGGGCAATCAGGTGCCATCCTCCAATGACCGCAACACGTGAAGTCATCCTGCCCCATTGAGTCTAGCGTCGCTTAGCACCGGCACACGCTGATTGGTCTGCGGGCCGGGAAAAATACACTCAGCGCCGAGGCCGGGCAGCTTTCTTTTCCCGTTTGTCAAAGCAAATCCAAGTCAGCTCTCACTTTCTTCTTCTTCTCCTCCTTCTCCCTCTCTTCTTATAAAAGGGATCTTCACCCGGTTTTTAATCCTCGCTGTGCCTCTTGTGCCTGCTCCCTGGAGACCAATTTCCATCCCCTGCTATCTCAACCATCCTCATTTTAGCTGTTCCTCTATGTGCTTGTCTGCGCTGCCCTCGATTTCGTCGTCCGCTTTTATCCGCTTTCCCCGCTCTCGTTTGCTGACCCTCGACTTGAATCCGTCCTCCTCAGTGTCTCTCGATATTTCCTCTTCGACTGGCTTCTCGGCCGTGTCGTCCGCTCACTCCGTCTCTGACGACAAGGTGTTCTGGCTTAGGGTCCATGGTCCGTCCTGAACAAGGGCGGACGGTAAATAGGTGCTATATCCGAGAGATCTTGCAGGCTGCCGCGTAACTTCCCTGCTGGGTCGCTTAGCCCTCTCGGATTGTGTGCTACCAAATGTACGCTGCTCCGATCGACCCTTGACTCCCCCTTGCATATGGAAATTTAGGGTTTTCCGTGCATACCCCGCGCTTGTGCGTGTGCGTGTGTATGTGTGGATATGCGTGTGGGGGCGTGGAAAGAAAAACAGAAAAAAGCTGACCACTCTGTTTGTGTTCTTAGATTACTTTGACTAGACCTCAACTAGAGGAGTGCCTCGATTTGTCGATGCCTGGGTGCATTTGATCGCCCTTGGCTTACGCATCGTGCTGTGCCGTTCTGATCGGACGGCTGCTGGATCGTGCTTGGTCAATTACGGGAATAGAGAGATATCCGAAAAGAAATCTACGACACAATGGATCCCTCGGCGAATACTACTGGTCACGATGACATCTCGGTCAGCGATGTGTTCAGTCCGCAAGCCGACATGTCGCATTCACACAAGGAGATCAACATGAGCGACGCCCCGGAAACCGGCTTTCGTATGAGCGCCCGCAGCCCCCAGCGCAAGCAAGGACCTATGATAAAGGGGCCTGGTGTTCATGGTGGCAATCCCTTCCCGGCTCCAGAGCTCAACGCACACCCTCTCGCCGCGAAGGCTGACCGCCGCAAGAAGAAGAAAAAGCACGCGGTTCATGAGGTTGCCCCGGCCCTTTCGACCGTGCGCGGGTTTACTCCTCGCGGCTCCGCCGATGAAGACTCGGACCGATCGGCTGCCAGCTCTCGTGCACCGAGCTCGCACCCGCGCACTCGTGCTGGAACTAATGGGGGCAGTCCGTTGGTTCAGCCCGCGGCTGGCTGTGGGGTGAGCGCTTTGAAACTCCAGCTTGAATCAATGAGCCTGTCTGGCAATGGAACCTCAGCCGGCCCCGCTGAGACCCCGAGTAATGCCAGTGTCTGCTCCGACAGTGATCAGACCGAGGTCCTGACTAGCTACGAGGTGCCTCTAGAGCATGACTATGTTAGCGCCGATGCGGCCGCCGAGGAAGACTCGCGGAATACATCAAGCGTGCGGGATATGCGTACCCAGCTGTGCCGAAAGATGACAACTGATGACTTTGAGCCCCTCCTTTGCCTGGGGAAGGGGTCGTTCGGTACTGTATTACTGGTGCGCCATGTGCTCACGGGCAAGCTGTACGCGCAAAAGCAGTTTCGTAAGGCGTCGATTACCGTTCACAAGAAGCTTGTCGAACAAACCAAGACCGAGCGCACCATTCTGGAGAGTGTCAACCGTCACCCCTTTGTGGTCAAATTATTCTACGCGTTCCAGGACCACGAGAAACTGTATCTGATCCTGGAGTACGCGGAGGGCGGCGAGCTGTTTACGCATCTAGCTATGGAGCGTATGTTTGACGAGGATGCGGCTGCATTCTACATGGCGGAAATGGTACTGGCCCTTGAACACCTCCACCAAAACGTCGGGGTCATCTACCGCGATCTCAAGCCGGAAAATTGCCTGCTGGACAGTGAGGGCCATCTGCTTCTGACGGACTTTGGGCTCAGTAAGATTGCCATCAACGATGACGACCGTTGCAACTCCTCGCTGGGTACGATCGAGTACATGGCTCCGGAGGTCGTGCAGGGCAAGTCGTACGGCAAAGCTTGTGACTGGTGGTCACTGGGCGCGCTGGGCTACGACCTGCTCACTGGATCTCCTCCCTTCAAAGCCAACAACAACGCCAAGCTGCAGGAGAAAATTGTGAAACAGAAGCTGGCTCTGCCTTATTTCCTGGGACCCGATGCCAAGGACCTGTTGACCCGACTGCTTCGCAAGGAGCCGTCGAAGCGGTTGGGTTACCACATGCCCAAGGACTTGCAGACGATCAAGAACCACCGTTTCTTCCGAAAGATCGACTGGAAGGCGCTGGAACGACGGGAGGTGGCGCCTCCGATCAATCCGGTGGTGACGGACCCAGCCCTGGCGGAGAACTTCTCGATGGATTTCACGCAGCTGCCGCTGAGTCCGATCGTGCATGCGTTTGACGACCATTATGCGGCCCGGGCGTCCGGTCCGCCAGCCAGTCACCCCGGTGAGGGCGAGCTTTTCGGCGGATTTAGCTTCGTGGCGTCGAGCAGCTTGCTGGATAATGGTATGATGGTTTGAACGGGGTGTAACTGGTTGGAGGAGAGCATACAAATAGAACCAGACTGGTGGTTAAGCATTGTGCATATTTTTTTCGATGCGATTGTGCGATGCTTAAGATGAGCGTTTTCCAGCAATCCTAATATGAATTTCGGCTTTTAGTGCTTGGACTCCTGAAATAGCGCAGCTGTAGTACTGAGGGTTGAGAAGTGACGGTCGGGCATCACGCCAGTAGACAGAGCAGACATACAGCGCAAACAGACCCTTTTTAGTATGTCTCTGTAGCACAAGAACTTCTCATCGTCCCTACCCATTGCACCCATCCTGGTATCAAGCTCTCAGGTTTCTCTTCACCTAAGTCTGGTATGTCATGTTCACCAAGGGCATTCAGGGGACGTAAGCACATATCCAGACACTAATTGCTATTCTTCAGACTGAAAGACACGTGCAACAGGGACAAATAGTATGGACCTTTTAAGAGTGGAGAACCGGGGTAGATGGCAGTTTCAACCATCATACCACCCAGCGACCTGTCTATACTCGTCAACTAGTCCAGTCTCCTGCAGTTCCAGACTCGCCTCGGATCCGGGTCATAGACAGGTTCAGCTCCACCGCTGAATCAGTGTCAATCCATGGGCGTCACTATGAACCAACCCTCTGTCGATCACTCGCTCGGCTAGTCCAATATCCCTGTTCTGCTGTCGAGCAGAGAATTTGCAGTAATGACATGGAGGAACAGGACGCGAATGGCATCAGCATCAGCATCAGAATAAGTCCTGCATAACCTCCTTTACCAGCTCATCTTCGGCAATCCTTCAGGCAAACACCTTCCGGACCCCCCCGGACCATCCATGGAACGACCAACGGCCCTGGTTCAGATCAACCCGATCTATTTAACTCTAATTGCGATAATGGTCACTCCTTTGCGGCGCCACATATTTGCCCGCAGGGCCTTCAAAATGCCAGCCGGTTCCCCTCTTGATCGACGCCGGGCCTGTCAACCTCTTCTCTCGTGCATTCATTCCGCCTCCGTCGTTCATTTCTTATTTGCATCCCTTGCTTCTTTGCTTTCCCTTTCTCGACTCTCTCTTTTTAGAATCTCCTTCCTTTTCTTCCACCAGCCCTCATGCCCACGTGGGCCATTTAAAGCCAAGCAAAACAGCCCGAGGCCATCATGGCCGACGAACGAACCACGCAGGAATCCCCTCCGACATGGTCGGATTCGGACAGTGCTCCTCCCGCCATTGCTGAGAAGAAACGCCGGTTACCCCCGTTTCTGGACCATTTCAATGGTCGCGATCTCAAGATCTTCTTTCGATGCTGGGTCGCCGTCTGGGTGGCTTGTTTGTTGATCTTCATCCACCCCTCGCTGGAAAGCATCGGCACTGCAACATTCTTCGCAGCGTATGCATGTCCCAATGCACGGCTCGCATTGATATGCTAAACATCATATAGTCTCGTTTTATTGTTTCTACCTCCATCCGGAATCGTATTCATCTATCTTTTGGGTGCGCTGTCCTTGTTCATCGGTATCTGTCTAGCTTGGGCATGGGGCGTCATCACCATGAAGGCTGCTCAGGCAGCTAGACCAGCGGCCGAAACGCAGGCTAAAGTGGCCGCCCTGCAGCAGACGGCTGTGTCACAGGCCCAGAACTCGACCTACTCCGCTACTGAAATAGCGCAGCGATTGGTTTACGAAGGGTACATGCTAGATGCGCGCGTCACTGCCGTGACCTTTTGCCTCATCTGCACTTTTGTTTATTTCATGGTAGGTAATTCTCCGATTAAGGGCAATGGGCTATACTGAATATACAGGCGCGTCTTCGGGCCAGCAATCCCAAAGCAGCTTTGACGGCTATATTTGGCATTATTATCTCGGATCTATTCCTGAACTACACTCCACTTCTACCCTCTTTCTCAGGAACCCTGCCCCTAACTCTCGTCAAACCTGCCGCAATTGGGGTCGGGCTCGGCCTAGCATGCTCAATCCTCTTCTTTCCTCAGTCGACATCGCATGTGGTTCTGGATAGTATGGAGGATATCGTCCGACTCCTCCAAGTTCCACTAGCAATGACAGCAAATACACTCTGCAAGAAGGAAGAACAACCGAATCCTGACGACCTGCGCATGACACAGGCTGGGATCATCCAGAAGTATAAAGGCATGGAACCATCCTTAGCGTTTCTGCCTCTGGACTTTTCTGTAGGCTGTTGGGGGGCTGAAGATGTCGCCTCCTTCCAGGGCCCTTTGCGAGACGTACTTGTTGCAGTTTTATCCCTTCTTGACTTTCACATTGGCCGGATCGTGGGAGAGGCTCGCACGCAGGATGTGCTGCGTAAGTATGTCGATAAGACTCCGGACGAGGATGAGAAACATACGCGCGAGGTTGGTGCGCATCAGCTCACACAGCTTGCACAACTGCTGGATGGATTCCGCAGCCCGGACAGCCACCCGCTGCGCAAGGAGGTCGTCCAAGAGCTAGTCAAGACAAGCGCGACCGCCATAGATGCTTGTGCGGAGGGGCTGAGCGTCGTGCAAGAGTGTATTCACCTGGTGAATTGTCGGCGCTGGTTCAAAAGGCCATCCCAGGCTGAGCGCGAGAAGCTACAACAACGCTGTGAGAAGGCACTTGAGGCATTGAGCAAGGCCCGTTCGGTCTTTATCAATGAAATGAGCGACATCCTGATCGGACAACACGAAAAGCAGCCGCTTGGCGAAGCCCATCACTTCCGGCCGCTTATGTTCGTTTTAGTCTTCGAGGAGCACATTTCCAACACCGTGCAGAAGACCGAGGCACTACTCGCGCGGGTATCTACGGTCTTCCAAGAATCAACGAAGATCCGCGTTTACCTGCCAACCCGGTTCAGATACGCCGCATCATGGGCCTCCTCGAATGAGGTCAAGGCACCGGGGTCCGAGGGTACCGAAGACGATCCGGATCGCGTCAGCGCCGACGACGTTACCAAAGCAGCACAAGAGAAGCTGCGTGTTACCCGTGGATTCCGCACGAAGCCACGCCCTCCTCTCAGTCGAGCCATCCTGGGAACCTACCACTGGTTTACCTGCGATGAAGGCCTGTATGCCATACGTATGGTTGTCGTCACGATCGCCCTGGGCATTCCGGGCGTGATCCCTCACAGTGCGGGTTTCTACTACCGTGCGAAGGGACTTTGGGCGCTGATTATGGGGCAGACGGGTCTGCTCGTATACATGGCGGATTTTACCTTCTCCTTGATTGCAAGAGTCATTGGAACCGTCATCGGAGGAGTTTTGGGGCTGCTGGCTTGGTATATTGGCTCCGCAAATGGCCCGGGCAATCCGTATGGGCTGTCTGCTATCACCGCCGCAATCCTAGTCATCCTTGTCTGGATTAGACTATATCTGCCGCCGGCCCTGATGCAGGGAGGTATCATCGGTGGAGCCACATTCCTGCTAGTCATCGCGTATAGCTACGACGATACGTAAGTTTTCCCTCAACCCTATCAAACCACCCCACTAATAACTTTCCAGCCACATCCCCCAATACGGCAACCCAGGAGTAGGCTACAACGTCTTCTGGCGACGTCTACTCCTCGTCCTCGTCGGCGTCGCCGCATCCGCCATTCTGCAAACTCTCCCCCGGCCACCATCGGCCTCCCGACACGTCTGCAAAACGCTCTCCCGCGCCATGCGCACCCTATCCACGCACTACGCCCTCCTCCTCACCGTTTGGGCCCAAAACTCCACCGAAGGTAGGAGGCTCGCCGAACCTCTCTCCCTGCAACTCGCCGAAACCCTCGTCGCACTCGACGGGCCCATCAAACTCCTCGGCTTCGAATTCTCCAGCTCGCGCTTCGACAGCGCCTCCCTCGCCAAAGTGAACTCCCTCTGCCGCAGCCTCAACCGCCAGCTCAGCCGCCTCCTACTCCTCTCTTCATCCCTACCTCAGGAATTCCAAGAGCAACTAGCCCGTCAGACGGGACTTCTGGACCACCGCCTCATCGGCCAGGTCATGGCGGTGATGGGTCTCTGCGAACAGGCCCTGAAAACGGGCGACGCGTTACCGGAGATCCTTCCGACGCCGTTGTTCAAGCAGGCAGTGGATAGTTGGTCGAGGGGACGTCGTGGGCAAGAAGAGCAGATTATTTCGGGGGAGATGATGCGCGATGAAGGGTATAGACGGTTCTGTGTGGCGGCGAGTGCATACTTTGGGTTTTTGATCACCGTAGATGAGATGGTGTTGGTCGTGAAGGGGGTGTTGGGAGAGGCGCATCTGGTGGGTGGTTTGGGGAGTAGGGAAGGGGGGTGGTTGTTGGGGGATGTGGAGGTGTGAATGAAGAACCAGATTTATAATAGATTGGTGATAGTATAGTGTTATAGAAAGGGTGAGTATATATATATATATACAATACATGGCACCAAGAATAATACAGAAGCATGAAATACAAGCCAAAGTAAAATAATGAAACCCACACTCCCTCCCTCCACTAGACCGCGAAAACATCATGAATCTGACGTATAAGTTTCATATAAAAGTACGAGTACCTAAGACGATCGCTTAATCTACCCTCAAACAAACACAGTAACTAGTTATTCATCTATCGAAATTATACTAGATCTCATCATAATCATCATCATTTATTTAATCAGACAATTAACTAGTAAAGTTCACTTCAATCATAGCTTAGTGCTAGGCTAGTTTAGATAAAACCCCAACATGGTATGGGAGAAAAAAAAATAGAGTTTAGACTTGGAACATAAGTCCGCACAACACAAATAAGTTAAGGGTACATAAGGTTAATAGACATCCATCCTACTACTCAACTTGAGTTTAACTTTAAACTTTACATAACCCTTTTTATAACTTAAAATCGGACTGATGTTGTCAGTATATATATATATTTAGTCTTGACTATATATAGGATGGATGAATGAATAGAGTTTATAAGTAATTGGCTATTCAGCAATTGCAATGTCTGTGTGGAAGAATGCATCGTTCGTACTTCATACAACAACTTAAAGCCTACAGTAATTGTCGATCGAATCCAGATAACTAAACTGTATCTATCTACTACTGAACTACCTTGAAAAGTCGCCTGTTTTTGTTTGAT